GTTAATACCACTACTCGAGTAAACAGTTTCACAGTATTTCTGAAGATCCTCTGAATAGAGGGTACCTTTGTATATTAATTCTATTGATTGAAACAAAGCTTTCATGAATACCACAAAAAATATTTGGGCAATCTTAACATCATATAAGGGTCTGACACAAAATAGTGCTACTTACATAGTTCCTTTATGAAGACTTTTAGGTGCAAAGCTTGTGAACAACATGCAAATGGACGACCTTTTAGTTTGGTGGGAAGTTTGTGTAAAGCATGGATGATAATCTCGCCATTCTTATTCGTAGTCGCTATTGAATAAGTAATAAAAAAGATTACCGATTTGCAGAAAAGATACATCCCATGATCCACGTTTTCAGGCCTCCAGCCATTTAAACAATATCATATGCATGAGAGACAATCTCTGTCATTTAGCAAACAGTGTTGAACTTCATATCAACACTTAAAAACTTAAAAGACTTAAGACTACATTGAATACTAGACTATTTGAACAGTAAAAATGAACTATGTATACATGGGTTCAGTTGTCAGCATTTTATACCCGACACAGAGAGACTTCAAAAACATATACAATAGATAGCATAATCTGTTAACACAGAGCCATGTCTCGCCTTTTTGTTACTGTTGAAATTAAAATAGCAATACTTTAACATGAAAGTTATGCAAAATATTCAAAGTCAATGAACCATGACTAAAGGTTACAGGGTCAAACAATCTCCATGGAAATGAGATATGCCAATGCTAATAACACTGCATACCAAATATCATTGACCTACACCACTAGTGGATCCCCATAAACTGACCTTATCACAAACTACGACATGTTAACTAGGCAAAAGTTTCAAATTCAATAGACATGCATGACTGAGGGGGCGGAGCCAAATAATCTCCTTGGAAATGAGATGCTTATACAACTGTAACGACACCGCCGACGCCGGAAACAGCATACCAATGTCTCGCTCTTTGACTCCGTCAAGGCGACACAAAAACCGGCATTGATAACAATTAGTTTGCATATCAAAAAAGTTTTGCAGAACGACTAAAATTAGAACATATATTTTTGCCCAACAGCAATGTTGAATCCATTTTAATGTGCGTGAGCGAATATAAAATAATCACAAAATTCGATATGAAATCACAGTCAAGCTCCCGTCATAAATGTATCCAACAAATCTGCAGACTATTCTCGTGATTGAATCAGATTCAGGGGAAATAACCATAATTTTCTTACACAAACATACAAACAAACAGTAGATATTAAATATATGTCTATTTGAAAAAATGGATTCATACAAAAACCAGAACAGCAAGAAATCTTTACCGAAATCAGGAAAAGGTCAAAATGCATATGATTCAGTTACTTAAAAAAACAGTATATAGTGCAATAAACTTATTCTAGAGAAAAAAAACCGAAAAGTTTAAATCTAAAGCGTTATCTTTTCGATATCCTGGTTTTGTAATCCCATTAAAATAAATATGCAAAGAGCTACTAGTATTATAAATGAATGAAACTCTATACCATGCCAAAAACAAAATAAAATCAATATAATCAGCAATACTTGCGTTACATCTACATCAAAAACCCATATATTGCTAGGCACGTGTCGTACCTACTTGAAAAACAGGTTATTGTTCTTCTTGTCAACTTGTTCCTTTATTCGGATGAAGCAGATTTCATACGGTGTTTATCAAGAAGAATGAAAAGAAGCTAGCCTTTTTTTAAACCCATCTTCAGCTATTTAGATAATGTCCTTTCACTGAACAATACAAAGTTTGATGGCTATACTGACCTCATCTTTCCTATTGAACTTTCATTACACAACATAAGAAAAAACTTTAAAAATCAGATGAAAAGGGCTTAACTCATCAGATCGATTCAAAGCAAAACAAAACAACTAACAAAAATCAAGACTTGAATATCAATCAGTACATACCAACATCCAATGGATTTAGTGTAAAAGCGTCATAAGCAGTCAGAGAAAATTGTATTCAAAGGACTTATATGTTTACACGGATTGTATCTAAATTTACGAGCTCTATAGATAATCAATACTTGGCAATGGAAAGCTCATTCATAGATTATTTGTTGAATTTTCTTTTATCTTGTATCTTTGGTGATTTTTTCCCTTCAGATAACAGTGCTATGATATGGGAAACTATCCACGACAAGTAAATCATATAATTATTGTATGGGACATTTTAAACCTGTAGGCATGTATGGATTAGTTAAAGTCATGTAAAGTCATGCAAGCTAAAATAGTTTGAAAAAGGCATAGACTACTTGCATTGAAGACAAAACCAATACTTGAAATTAAGTATGACCTTCAAGCACAAGTTTATAGGAAAGAGTCTTACACAAATCAATGGATCTTAAGAGATAACACTGAAATTTATGCTTGCTTGATGTTAAATTCTTTACTTGCTCTAGTCTTGATAATCGCTTTGAACTTCTAAAAAAGAATTGTATTTCCAGTTACATATAAATCATCAGATTTTTTAATAAATTCTGCCAAAAAATCATAATGCTATTACAATTCATTATGTTCCCGTTTTTTAACATGCCTAAGCACAATAAACACAATTTCGCCCTATAGTAAGTGTATAGCCAATCAAAACCGACGGTACAAGATCATTTTTTGTCATTTAGTCTCAAAGTGACTTACAATATATATTAGCAAATAAACGTTGAACAGTTATTGGTCTCCCGTATGTTGAAATGATGAGAAGCAAAAGGTGGCAAATTAATGTTTTATCAATATCTGGAGGAAAAATAGATTTGTTTAATGATTTACCGCGCCAACAATCATTCTTCAAACTAACTACCAGTGGTTAAGATTTTGACCAGTGTATGTGTGTATAAAGAGAGACAACTTAAACACGACAAACATTATTCAGGTTTTCTGTATCAACCAACTACGTGTTTGTGTGCCCTTTTCACTGCGATATACCGCATGAAACACATTGACGGAAAAATTGACAAACATTCAATTTTACTTAAATCTTCTTTCACCGTTCACTACGTCGTAACGTTTAAATATGTTGTTCATTGTTATTGAACTACCAATATTTTTTTTACGTTGAACCGCGATTCTAAAACCGAACAATTTCTAGAAAGTTGCACGACACATTTCATATCAGTCCAAGAGATACTGTCAGTGTCGTTCCTCTTACCGTACCTTTCCGTATTTCAGCATATCAAATATGAATTCAATTTATATTTTATAGTGTGTCTTTTTATGTTGTAATGTTACACTACTGTCTCAGGTTAGGGTGAAGGTTGGCGCCTGTTAAAACGTTTAAACCCGATGCATTTTTATGCACCTGTCCTAAGTCAGGAGACTGTTGTTCAGTGGTTGTCGTTTGTTGGTGTGGTTCATAGGTGTTTCTCGATTTTTATATAGAATAGACCGTTGGTTTTGGGCCCTTATATCTTACTGTCCGGTGTGAGCCAAGGCTCCGTGTTGAAGGCCGTACTTTGACCTATAATTGTTTACTTTTGATACATTGTGACTTGGATGGAGAATTGTCTCATTTGCACTCATACCACATCTTATTTATATTTTAAGTGCCTTTCGTTCTAGCCGGCGATAAAGAGTACTTTATCTTCATTAGCTTGTCTACTTAGTACACATATGTCGCTTGTCAAATTTTTCCAATGGTTGCCGATGAGACAAATATCCATTGAAGACCAAAGAACAAAGGTGTGAACAACAATGCCGGAGTAAAACAAGCTATAAAAGGCCCAAATAGTTATCAAAGGTACCAGGCTTATAATTTAATACGCCAGACGCGCGTTTTGTCTACATAAGACTCATCAGTGACGCTCAGATCGAAATAGTTAAAACCCAAACAAGTATACAGTTGAAGAGCATTGAGGACCTACTGAAAATTCCAAAAAGTTGTGCCAAATACGGCTAAGGTAAATCTATGCCTGGGATAAGAAAATCCTTAGTATTTCAAATAATTCATACTTTTCAGTGCAAACAGTAAATTTATAAAAATAACCATATGATTGATATTCATGTCAACACCGTAGTGCTGACTACTGGGCTGGTGATACCCTCGGGGACGAAACGTCCACCAGCAGTGACATCGACCCAGTGGTGTAAATAGTTATCAAAGGTAACAAGCTTATAATTTAATACGCCAAGAGAAACCCAATATGTTGATTTTAGGATACTAAAATGTCTTGAATTATATATCGACTTTTAATCCTTTTTATTTGAAAGGTAATTGAAAAATCTATTTCATAGTCAATGCATGTATTAGAGCGAACACAGGTACTTAAGGTTAGTAACAGATTCCAAACGCTGACTTTACAACGGGTAATTTGGTAACGAATAATATTGCGGCGAAAGAACAAGATATATATCGGTTTGTTTAAATAAGAAATAGACATAGAGAAGTATATAAAAACAAAAAATTCGGTATAAATGCGGCACTTTGAACATCAAAGTCCGTTGAATTATACTTGAACAATCACCATCCTCACCGAAAAGAAAATGCATGGCTTAAATGTTGTAAAAACCAAGCTTTGGGAAAAAAGTATAAACTTTTTCATTTGCAATCATGGTTCGTCCACGTTGTAATGTATGCAAGAAGACAGTTACGTCTCGACAAGATGCTCTACAATGTGACACATGTGACAACTGGCAACATCATCTTTGTGGAACAGGTAAGTTGATTTTAGTTTATGTTTTATTTTTGTAGAAATTAAGCCCACTACTTAAAACATGCTTTTTTCACCGCATTTAATTTTGCCGTTAATTCGCTTACACAATATTCTATGGATCGTTCAAACTTGAGGATTTTTTTTTTTAGATATAAATCATAGTTGTCAGTAGATCAATTAAAAAATAATAATTACAATCAAATTTTAAATTAAACCTAATAATGAAACACTATCATGTTAAAAAAAAATTTGGTACGAGTTGGTAAAAAAAGGGTACGAGTTGGTTTAGTACGAGTTGACATGTATCCGATATATTTACTTCCGTTTCCGGTCCTTAGGATTTATATATTTATTTCATTTGTTTGCAATGCGTTTTGTTTGTGTTTACTTGAAATAGTATGACAGACGTCGGGTCATTAGCTGAGGCAGCTAGAAAAAGGAAAGAAAGACTAAAAAATCTAAAGGGCAATCAAAATACAACAGAATCTGAAGTTACTGAATCAGAATTATCGGAAAAGTTACCAAAGTACGATGTTTTCCCCGCTTCATAGATTTATCCAAAAACACAAACAAATATCAAAATCACTTAAGAATAACCATTTAACGTACTCTCTATATTGAATTTTTTAAAATTAATTAAACATGAAATACTACGGCGAACTTCTTACCGTCAGTTATCGTCGATGATTGCAAGTTCGTTATGCTTGCAAGTTCGTGACATTTGGTATCCGGTCGTTCTGTCCCCAAACCGATCCGGCCCCAAGTCGATCGGCCCAAAGTCGATCCGTCCCAAGTCGATCCGGCCCAAGTCGATCCGGCCCAAAGTCGATCCGGCCCCATAATAAAATATGAATAAACTATATTGACTTTGGAGGATTTTTAACAGTATAAATTGATTTTGCAAAAAGTATCGATGATGGATGACAACAGATAAGTGAAGTAAGTCAAAGAATTATTTTAAATCGATACGAAACTGAGTGTGATTGTGTCTGTTTGTATAGCAGCTTCAACATATTAATATGAAGTTATTTTCCATGATAACTTTGAATTTTATTTAATTCACACACAGAATAGCAAAATAAATATTTACAGTCCAATGGAACCTATAAAATTTAACTCATCATATAATGACTTGTTTAATCAAATCATTAATCTATAATTGGTTTGTTTATTCAACAATTGTCTGATGATTGTGAACTGAGGTAATGCCACTCGTAATCACTTAATTCAATCAAATCCTGGTTGATTAAAGTTACGTAATCAGCAAGGTCTTTATAGTTTGATCTTTTTTTTGGTGTTATGTGTTATAATAATTAATTGTATTTTTTTTTTCAGGTAACATCAGAGGCTTCTATAACACATGTTTTTTTTTTTTGTAATATCGAATATAGTTAATATATTTAAATACAATATATATAACTTAGTAGTATTTGTCTAAGACAATTCTATTAACTTACTGCTTCTGGTTCAGGTTCAGGTGCTGCTTCTGGTTCAGGTGCTGCCTCTGGCTCGGCTGGCATACACTCGATGCACATGAAGATCACATCTATTTCTTCATTTACCATGCGTCTGTATTCCAGTAGAGATACTCCTATAAAGGAATTACAAAAATAATAAATATCTATCTTTATAATGTAAAATACAAATATATAATACAAATTCATGATGCAAATATCATGAATATATAATACAAATATATGATGCAAATATATAATTCAACTATTTAAACGGATAGCTATAGTACGCTTTACTATTTTCTTTAAAATATTTTATTAATCTAAATACTCAGTTTTGTACAAAAAGTCAAATAAGAATAGATAAAGCAATCTTTATTTAGAATTTATAAGCTTTTTACCATTTTACACCTGAAAACACGCAAATTAATATTCCCAGATTTAAAACAAAACTATATACTTTTTTTTCATATTTATGGTTTAATGATGAAAACAAAGAAAAAAATATTTAAGACTTATATACAAAATTACAGTTTGATTATATTAAAGCAAAAAGTGAAAATAGAAACTTACCGGTATTACAGAGACGGTGTTGCCACTTTGAACATTGCTCACACTGAAGTGCATGCTGCCGAGGTCTAACATGTTGGTCACATACCACACAAGGAAAAGCCATTGTGATATTAAAAGCAAACGCATTCTGTCTCCTCTTTTATAGAAAGGATTCGGCAAATCAAACAAAATTTCTCAATTTGAGAAGTTTTAAGAACTTAAAACAAAAACAAAGTTTGTATGTATCAGCTTGGGGATTGGCTTGTACCATTGTGTATGTAACTATTTGTTATTACACATGATGAAAGACTTGTTAAGATCACAGTCAATTGAAAGAAAATGCTTATTACTGCTGATTAATGTTAATGTCTAAGGCCATTTTTTTTACCGTACACCTTTTACATTATAATAAAATTCATAAACATTTATAAATTACAATTAATATATATCTTTATTTTTATTCCATATAAATATATTTTTTTATTGGGGCTGGATCGACTTTAAATATGGGCCGGATCGACGTTGGGCCGGATCGACGTGGGCCGGATCGACTTGGACCGGATCGACGTGGGGCCGGATCGACATGAAACAATGACATTTTGGGATTTCCACTTTATTTGTGACATCATGCATAAGTATTTATCATCGGCAACGTGCTACTTCAAAAAACCCTTAACCGGATATTTTGCATTGCATTTTTACTAATATCGGCTTGAAAAAAAGAAGTTGTGTATGTTCTTGCATATTATTTGTTTAAATGTCTATTTCCACAATTTTACTCCTATCCTAGAATTTCATGAATTCTTGGGAAAATCCTTTCAGCAATGTTTTGAACATCTCAACAATGAGTCATCATCTATTTTTAGGTTATGTGGCGTTCTTTTTCTTTTTTTAAGGCCAAGGGTATTATTTTTCAAAGTTTGTATTTGAGCGGATTTTTTAAGAGCAGAAAATGATTTGATTTATTTTGATAAAACAAAACCTATGGAATGTTGGCTCGTAAAATAAATTTAATCATATGGTATTGAGTGCAAATTGAATGAAAAAATACTTTGATGCATTAATCACATTGTGACATCGTTGTAGTTATCTTAAATGTGTTTAAATTGTTTAATTCTGGACTTTCTACTTGACCATTGAAAGTCGCGTGTAAAAATTAGAATATTTGTTGTAGGGAGAATACAAAAGTTAGTATGTCCCAATTTCTCTTTTTTTCGAGATATTCATTTGTTATTTGATCTCAAATTTACTATGTAATGCTCAAATACATAATACAATAGGCCTGACCTATATATTGTTGCACATGCGCAAAAGCCAATGTCCAAGACAAAGGTCACGAACTTACAAGCATGTCTACTTATTTTACGGAATCGGGTCACAATACGAAACATAGACAGATTGACCATGTTTTTGAAGCTATTCATCAATAAAGTGTATCAGACTGTTTGCAAATAAGTAAAGAATATTTACATTCACAGTGGATAATAGTTGCTCCTAGGTTGTGATTTTTTTCTTCCGTTTCGAGTAAGGGTAACGAACTTCATATCATCGAGGATACCAGTAACCGTTACTGGCGTAACTTGTCAGTGCCAGTGGCAGATTTATTTTTTTAGGGAGTGTGGTACAATGTATGTAGATAGAGTATGCCCCCCTCCATTGTTTGAAAAATAAATCACTTTTAAAGCATAGAATCATTAAAAAAAAATTTCGCCTTGCTACGCAATACATAATACAAATCCCCCCCCCTTTTAATTAAAAAATATATCATTTATAAAATTGACCAAATTTTTTGTTGCTTTGCTACACTCAGTATTAAACATGAAATACATGGATTACTACTTATCGTCACTTGGATCTTCCCCTGCTTATCATTTAATTCAATAATGAAAGCGTTACACAAAAACAACTGACTGCTGATATCTTCAGACAAATATTTTGACTTCATTTGTAAATATTCTGTTTTATTCAATCCTATTCTGATAGGGAAATGCTGAATTTTCTGTAAACTGAGCATGCTGTAGGGACATGAGGTCCTCGATATGGAAAACCTACTGTCTATACATAATGATCAGAATGGGGGTGTGTTTGGTTCAGTTGACATAAGTTCTTCTCTTCTTGCTACTCAAAAGCAAAATATAACATTAATGTCCTGATTAACTTAAATTCTATCATTTAATGGCAAGATTCAAAAGTGACAGTAAATGGTCATCGTACCTATAAAATTTCACGCAAAAATTGGTATACTAGTAGCCCGTTTTTTCGTTGTTAAAAAGAGAATTAAAGAAGGGTCTATGGTGCTAATAGTAACTTTTGGTAACCCCTTTTAATGTTAAAAGAATATTTCCCCTAAGTGCTCCAATTTAAATTTATTTGTAAGAGAAACTTAATTTCAGATAGTAACTGGTCTTGACCAGTACACAAGAATAAATTACATGTATGCTAAGAATCATAAGGCCTAATAAAAAATATGAGTTTGTGTTTCCACTATTAAACCCTACCTACCCTTATTGATATTGCATACCCTAAAGAATTTAAGAAATTTTTGAACAAGCACTATTAAAGAAAGTGTGTTGCCCCAGTATAAGCCAGTCAAAACTTTTGAAAAAATGAAGTTATTTGCTTACCTACCTAGCCTAACTTATATCAGCGTCATAGCGGAGGCACAGGTATTATTTGATAGGCATGACTGTCGCAACTCTAAAATATTTATTGTACATCAATAATTAGGCTATTTGAATCCATTTTAATATTATTATAAATAAATATTTGATAATGGTAACAAATTAATTATTCGTTTTTCCCTGGGAAATTATATTAATTAGTTGGTCCCAGTTTTACCAAAAATAAATAATTACCCATCAGATATGCTTCTCAATTGACAGTTAAAATTCTTTTTGTCATTCTAACATTTTTAACATATCATTCATTAAAAATGCTGAAATATATTAAAAAAACAGAGTAAATGTGAATATGAAAATAAGAAGATTTGATATGATTGCCAATGAGACAACTCTCCACAAGAGACTAAATGACACAGAAATTAACAACTATAGGTCACTGTACAGCCTTCAACAATGAGCAAAGCCCATACCGCATAGTCAGCTATAAAATGCCCAGAAATGACATATGTAACACAATTCAAACGAGAAAAATAACGGCCTGATTAATGTACAAAATAATGAATGAAAAACAAATATGATACACAGTAAGTCTAACTCAATGTCGTCCATTAACTTTTCTTTTGAAATCTTCTCTGAAAATGCTCAATGTTAGGAGTTGTTTATATCAGACAATTGTAACATAAAAAAAGCTACAGTTCACATTTTAGAATCGTGTAATAAAATCTGTTCATGAATATGTTTTTTCGGGGTTGGCAATTTTTAAACAATCATTTTTTAAACAAAATACTACAGCATTATAGACATAGAATACTGAACAGTCAGTGCATGACTGTTAATAGGGGAGATAATCATTGAATAACATATTACTTCCCTTTGTACAGGATCTGATAAAATTTCCCCATGTGTTTTCAGCCTTTTAAAAAGTTATTGTTTCGAAGAGAAATATTGAAATATATTTGTACACATCTATAAATGGTAAAAAGTTTATTTGTCCAAAAGGAAAATAAAAATTGTCAGTCTTATTATGCTGTTATCATTCCAATTTAACCCAAACAAAAGCATTGAGCAAATGAAGTCAGGTATGACCAATTTGCCTATTTTTTACATTGATAGTCAATTTGATCATTTAATATGTTTAAAGGCCGATTTCATATTCCTCACAAAATCTATAGTATAAATCCAATGTTTGCTTCAATTTAGCCAATTAAAAATGTATATGGTCAGAGCTGAAATAATGGAATATGTAGGTGATATTAAAAGTTAAAACAATTGGTATTCACATACCAATCTTCTACATGTATGTACTTTTATCATGAGTTTGAAACCAGATCTATGTTTACTTTTACAGACCAGTTTTTAGAAGCTATAGACCACATGATGAAAACCTGAAAGAATCATTATTGCCGACAACAAAACCTGAAGATGGTAACAAGTTTGTTCTCTTTATTTAAAGCAAGGATGGAATAAACTGCGCATGCACATACATTAAGTTCTTCCTCATAAATTTGTCTGATGTTTTTCTATAAGAAGTCTAAACATGGAAATAGGAAAAGGAAAGTCCAAATATAATGGAATAAAAATATATTATAGGAGGAAACTGGGCCAGTGGCATACATTATTCTGTGTCAAATTTTTAATTTTCGACAACAGGAAAAAATTCTAATTGACTTTTTAAATACCAGTAATAGTCAACATGACAACATACATGCATGCTATTTATTTAAAAACAGTGAAAAAAAATCAGAAATGTTGTTGAAACCTTTTGGATATGGAACATTATGACTAAAAATAATTCAGGTTTTTACATATGTTCTTAAAAAAATGCTATTTTGTATTATACTTTGCTGATGCTTTTCAAGTTGGTTTTGATATAATGATAAGTTTTACATGTTATTGGACACCATTAACCAAACTGTTTTAATTTGTAACTTAAACTTACAGGAATAAATAGCTTTACGGTCAACAAAATTCCAGTTTTGATTTTAAAAAGTCTTCCTTGGTCAGTTTAGTCATATTTTCAGAAGAATGCCATGCACAATTAAAGATGAGAATTGTAGTAAAAAATATAAAAGACTTTGTATGAGATAATTCAGGGGAAATTAGTTCTGTATATTTATTGATATAATTAATATTCTTTTAATGGTTTTTCTATACTAGGAAAAAACTTCTACATGCCTTTACTTTAAACAGTTGTTGCAGTTCTTTTGACATTTAGGATCATTTATTTTAAAGTAACACAATTGAATGACTGTTTTCAGCACAATACAGTATCCTCAAATGCTCTCAGTATGTCTACACTTGTGTAACCCATTATTATTTTACAGTGACAGTGAAGGTTAAAGATCAGCTTGAAGCTACAAAGATTAAAGATGTTGTTGAGGAAGTGGTATGTACTGAGAAAAAAAAAATGAAATGTCCCATCTTAAATTAGAATTTAAAAATCAATCTTTGTGTTCTGATTTTTTTTATGCCACTCAAATCAAAACAGTTAATAAGGCCAAATAAAATAAAAAGTTGAAGACCCAAAATTCTGAAAGGTTTTTCCAAATACAGCTAAGGTAATCTATTCCTAGGGTAGAAAATCCTTATTGTTTGGAAAAATTCTCTTTCAGTTAGAAATATAATTTATATGTTATTTATGCAGGATTTGATGAATCTGGCACCTAGAAAACCAGACTGGGATCTTAAAAGAGACATTGCAAAGAAGTTAGAAAAATTGGAGAGAAGAACCCAAAGGGCTATTGCTGAACTTATAAGTAAGTCATAAAGAATGTATGTATATGAGAAGAATAATAGAAGATGTGGGTATACATCAATGATGCAAAATCAAGGATACATAAAACAAAAGACATCTAGAAGTCAACATATGGTCTTCAATAATACACAGGTGTCTTCTTGTGTAGTATTTCAGTGGAAATGTTAGGTACGATGAAGTACAACACAGAGAATGAACAAATCAGTGATGTGAAGAACTCCAAAAATGTAGTACAACAAATTTCCAGGATTACAGGTACTTCAGGATAACAAGAAGTCACTTCCATTTCATTGGCATGTGATGGAGAAGTGACTAATTTTAATTTGGTGAGAAAAATTAATGTCGTGATTCAATATGAGACAAATCAGTACTAAATACATATTGATCAAACAAGAAGCTTTAAATGCACTGTAGTATTTTGTCTGCTTATTTTCCTTTTTAACTTGGTTTTGCGGCAAAGAAATCAGATTATTGATATGGGGTAATACAGCAGGCGACTCCAACTGTTTCCATTCAATATCACTTGAAAACATTTCAACCAATGCTTTTCAATATGAATATGATATGTTCCTCGATTGATTAGAAAATGGAACTTTATGTCTATTCCCTGAATTAACTCCAATTTATTCCAAATTTTAATATGTTGTTTCTCATAGCAAAATAGAAGTGAATTTTGGTTTTGATGATTTTCACTTTTACCATTCAGGACCCAGTTGTTCATCTCTTGGTTAAATTTAAACCAAGGGCTAAATATCATATCATCGTTGGTTAAAATTTAACCCTAGGTTATTATCTGTTGTTTAATCCTGTGGTGAGATTTAACCCTTTGTTAAATCCTTGGTTAAATGATTCAGGTTTAACCATGCTTCAAACCTCTGTTAAAATTTTAACCAAGGAATAGTTTTGTCTAAAAGTATGATTCCCTGTTTATTACTAAATTGGAAAGGTCACTTAACGTTTGATACAACATATTCTTTGTTTTCTACGACCATTAGTAATCAAAAACTGATTATTATGTTTTACAGTCCTTCCTCCTTTTTGCATCGAGGTTTACCTCTACCTATCCAACATTTTCAAATCAACATTTTTTTCACCTTATCATCTACTTTATTAAAAAACAAATTGATGCAGCAAAATTAAATATCTTTTAGTAAGATAATGTATTTATCTATAATCAAATAATTTACTAGCAACGCTTCTTTTCACACAAAAGGTGCTCTCTGTTACTTCTGCGTTGTTTTTCTATTTAATGAACTTAAATGCTGAAAAGTGTATTGTTTTTAATAATAAATCATATTTATTGACCAAACAGTTTTTGAATTTCTATGACAGGAGAAAAGTGTTCATAATTCTAATTTTTGATTAAAATGAAAATGAACATTCACCGAAAATTTAACCATGGGTTATGTAACCAAGGGTTAAAAAGAAGTTGAACAACAGAATTTTAACCCTTCTTTACGTAACCCTCAGTTAAAAGATTTAATCCAGGGTTATATTTAACCGATAGAAGAACAACCGGGTCCTGGAGTTACATGTATGACCCTTGATTGTGTTAACAATAAGTTCACGTTAAAAACCTAGTTTGCTGTCAATTTGACAGCATGTTACCCTTCTCCAAAAGAGGGGTATACTGGTTTATTCCAAATGTTCATCCTTCCCATGAAATTTCTATTGCATTTTTTTTCAAGAACTACAAATCAGAGCTTCCTGAAATTTGGTAACAACTGTCATGGGAGCATGCTATACAGTGTGATGCATTTTCATTAACACAACTTCCTGTTTACAAAACTTGTTTATACATGTATTAAATTTTTAAATGTGGGGAGTGGAGAAATATTGTATGTTACTAAATATGGTGGTTGAATCTGTTTCTCTAATGTTTTTAGAAAATATGAAGGCAATCTTTACCTTTCTATTTTATGATCTGCAAATTTTTTTTGTCTCTTTATGTAACCTCATTGGGCATGGTCACCTTTTATGCGACATCACAATAGTGAATTCAGTTGAAATCAAGAAAAGTAGATATCATAATTGAATTCTGTCCAATGAAGAACTGAGGACAAGCAAACCACGCAATGATAATAAAAAATTTATCAAACATTAGGGGTTGGTATGAATTAGCTAAGAACTGGATATATGCCTTTGTATTTAAAATTTGACCAGCAATTCACCAGTAAATTTAATCTCTTTACAGGAGACAGATTACAGAACTCTGATCAGGATCTTGCTCTAGTTGTTAATGCAGGTGAAGCTATTGCTAGAACTGAAGAAGATGAAGATGACTGATGACTTTGGTGAACAGAAAATGATACTTGTTACTGTACTTCATAAATGAAGATAAATAATAAGTGTATTCCAATTAACTGAACAACTGACTGTATCTAAATCAGTTAATGTGTTAATACTGTAAAGATAGACATTTCTTGTGTATGGAAATCCTAAAGATTACTGGGATTTAAAGATGATGAATGGAGAGTAAATAAAATATCAAAATATGAAAAAGTCTTTGAAGTTTATGTACATCTTTCAGCAGGAATGTTCATTTATATTCTTCAATTTTAATTTATTTTAAATACAGAATAGGTTAAAGTATTTTATAAAAACATGGTACCATTCACAGAAAATTGTTTCAGAAATTTATTCTTTAAAATCATGAGGCCATATTTTCCAAAGGTTGCCAACTTCAATCTCATCCAGTTATCATCAAGTGAAAAGTCAAAGCATATGCTATTACATTCCTCTCTACAAAAGAAATAATGGTCACTGTTAAAATAAGAAGATGTGGTACAATTGCCTATGAGACAACTCTCCACCAGAGACCAACTAACGTAGAAGGTTAGCAACTATAGGTCACCATACAGCCTTTAACAATGAGCAAAACCCATACTGCATAGCAAGCTATAAAAGGTCCCGAAATGACAAATGTTAAACAATTCAAATGAGAAAATTTGTCTTAATTACATTTTATATCAACTATAAGAAAACGATTGAATTGGTGTACATGTGTTTTCCTACCAGAATTTTGAGGGTTTTCCTGCTCAGCATTCAATAGTTATTGTGTAAACCTTTTCTACCTCTATGTCATTGTGTGACAAAAGGGTACTGTATGTGTGTCGTTATGGTTAACCTACTTTTGACTTAATGACAGGTACTGAAGGAAAACCACCACTTTTTAAAACTCAAAAAGTTGCAAATATTACACTTTTTATATTTTACCAAACCTTTTTATTGAAGGGATGTTGGGAGACTCCTTAATTTAAACTGAATTTCTCTAATTAAATGTTGCCTTTAAGGGAACTCAATGCTCACCTATCATTCATTTTTTTGTGATTTTGCCTAATATCTTAAAAACTATATTAGATAGATAGAAAGTTTAAATAGCAAAACTGATCAGCAAGACAAGATCAACAAATAAGTCAAGTGACCGAAATTGTTAGTCGACTCCTTATTGAAGTTATTGCTCTTTCATGATGACTTTCCCATTTTTGCCTATTATTTTGAAAACTGTAATAGATAGATAGAAACTTTAAATAGCACAAATGATCAGCAAGACAAGATCCACAAATAAGCCATAATGCTGTAATTGTCAGTTGACTCATTATTGGAGTTATTGCCCTTTGATGATAATTTTTAGTCCCCTACCGACGAAGTCGAAGGGGACTTTAGGTTTGCACTCTCTCCATCTGTCCATCCGTCAGTTCAGCAAATCAGCTTTCCACACTTTTTTTCTTCGTTCTTGAAGATATTGATTTGATATTTGGTATATAGTTTTATCATAACAAGTTATAGATCAAGTTCGAATTTTGTTCCGGTCTGATGATTTAGTCCAGAGTTATGGACCATATCTAATGTTAGAGTACTATGTTAAACCATATTTCTGTACAAAGGGAGATAACTCATTTTTTAAAAGGCATTCTTTGTTAAATTATTTGAAGAATTTTTTGGCAGGTTTGTTTGTTATTTAGTATAAACTAATTTTGTGAAAGCTATAGATATAAAAAAAAATTATGATAATAATCTATTTTTATTAATGTATATATTTCAATACATTACATTGTGTAGATAAAAGTTGTTGACATTTTATAGATAAGTTACAAATCTATATTAGTTTGTAACAAATGAAAGAAAAAATATTTGGAACTATTAATTATATTTGATTATAATTTGAAAATAGATATACACTGTATTACATCATATCTAATTTTAGAGAACTATTAATCATATCTAATGTTTTTTTTCACTCATATAATCAGTTTTCCACACTGTTTTTAGTCATGCTTGTAGATATTGACATGATATTTACTTTTTGTTTACACCATGAAAAGTTATAGAACAAGTTAGCATTTTGTTCCAGTAAAATGAATTTTTACCCAGTAGGGGACTATGTATTGCCATGCAGTACTCTCAGAATGCTTGTTAAAAATCTTTTGCATTTTCTGCCTATTATCTTGAAAACTAAAATAATTAAATGGAAACTTTTAAAAGGAAAAATGATCAGCAGGATAAGATCTACAAATACATGAACATGACTGAAATTATCTGTTAACTCTTAATAGAGTTATTCCACTTTAATGATGATTTTTACTAAAAAGTGTCCATTGTTGAATATGCAGGTGAGCGACACAGGTTCTTAAGAGCCTCTACATTATTTTAACCTCACTATACTATTACTGATGATTTGTTCAGTCTTACTAATTAACAATGCCCACATAATTAGTATAAAGACTTTTAGAAAACAAATAAATCTATAAAAAAGAGAGTTAATTCTATTCATTCAGGGTTTCAACCCAATTTTATGGAGGTTATGTGGTTATTTGAAATTGCATGACTGTTTGTTGTAAACAGGGCTTTGAAATGAGTTGTTTTCATTCCATTTGAAATTCATCAGGTATAAGTAAATGCTATTATTTTGATTTTTGGAATCTGTTGTAGTTCAGTGTATACGTGTTTGTAATTTTATTGTGTAATATGAAATTTAAGGCCAACAAATGTATAGCATTTGGTCCTCTGAAACATTAACAACAAGATCTGAATATGATATTATATTTAACAGCTCCTTGGTATATATATATATAATATTGAATTGTAATATATAGTTTTCAGACCCACCTATTTATAGAACAGATCATTGGAAGAGAAATATGACAAAAATAATTAACAATTTTATTTTGATATGGTAAAATACAATACAGTTCATAAAATGTATATGGCACTTTAGACAACATTTCATTAGAAATTAAACTCAAAGTTGATATGTTTACATTAATTTAAAACCATTTTTTACATAAATATATATTTTTTAAATCAAATGATGTAAGTGTAGCTTTAAAAATATATATGCAAGTCCCTGTTTGATAAGAAGTAGCATACAGTATTAAATTGGGCATATTGCTAATGCGTTCAGTAAATGTTTAACCTAACAGCAGCTGGTTGAATTTTATCAAATTTATATGATTTATAGTCCAACATTCACTAAAGAGTACTCTAATGTCCTTTAATAAGTAGGTATGTTTTATTGATAGACTCATTCAATCAGCTTTGTTTCAGAAAATGATATCTTTACCTGACTTTGATTAGTTTATTGGATTGAATATTGATCTGGAATATAGATATCCTAATTGATTTTGTGCTAGTGCATTTGTTTTAGTGTTCAGGAATCTTGACACAACTTAGAATGCAAGGGGTATTATATTATTTCTGAAATAGAGTAATGATTGAAAAATAAAGCCTCTTAAGATCCAGAATCCATAAGTAAATTTGTTTATGATAGATATGGGGATAAAATAAAATGCCATTCTTTAAAAAAAAGTGCTCATAGGGATTAGCTTTATCTGTATACTTTGATTATTTAAGATTTACTGGTAAGTAATTTCATAAAAATATTTTTGATTAAACCAGAATAAAAAAAATATCACAACCAACAATGAGAAAAAACAATTAAACCTATAATTAACATCAAGAAATAAAATTTATGTATACTGTTACAACACTCACATAATACCTGCAGTTGTTCCATGTAGGGTCATGTAGTGATAAACACAAAGACCTTTGATACATTATACGGAGTACATTATATTGTTTCCTATCTAATTCTACAAACAGATATGTATAATCAATATATGATATACAGAAGTGAGACAGCAACCAAACAACACATTAAAAGTAAAAATACCTATAGAAGTGCTATTATGTGAATTTTTCTTTGAATTCACCACTGATTAAAAACATTTATTATAGTAAAAAGTTAAAACACCAGAAAGTTTACAGTAGAAAAAATGGTAAAACTAAATAAGTAAGTTCCACTTCTAAATATACCATCTGCTGCCATATTTGTAATATTGTAGGTAAGATGAACAGGTAAAAATTCAGATGACAATGGCATGCTGTTACATTTGTTGTTGGCATTGCAGCAGATGAAACAGTCTATGTCAGACATAGGATCGCAATGATTGTCACAATATCCATGTTCTAATACACATTTCCTAGTCACACTTGAAAGGTAATGATTGTCCAACTCGGTTCTGAACATCACTTTTGTCTGTAAAAGAGACAAATATTTAGCTACATAACATAATAAAACTGTCCATTTCATAAAAAGCACCAAGCAAACCAAGTATAGTGATTACTATAACAAATACGACATGAAATCGGTCAAGCCAGAGACATATATACACACATGTGTATATATGTCTCTGGTCAAGCTAAGTCAATATTTCCCCATTAGTAGACTTTTATTCGGTTACACTAGCTGACATTCTATACATATTAAGAAAACATAATTTTACAGTTTTTTTTTAAGATAAACATAAAATTCATAATTTCTTGTGATGTTTTAATATATTTCTTAAGGATGTATTCTTCTGACGTTTCAGTCTCGTTGAAATCTCGTTCTGGAATTATTTCCAAAACATGTGATACAAGTGGAAAATATCAATGAATTTAAGAAATGTTATAATCAAACTTAACTCTGTGAAAAAAAATGTGTATTTACAATAAGTAGTTTTTGATTAATAAATTTCTTAAATTTTATTACCAATCAAGTCAGTCTTTTTAGCCAAAATTTTGAGAAAATGTGTAAGGGGTACAAGAAATGATTTTACCAGAAACATGTACATCCCGTATCACTCTTTTCTTTTCAAATTTCTTAGATATGTCTTTTTTCAATCATTTATAACAAAGAAGTTGAAATTTTATGCATTTTGTTCTTAAAACAGAGAAAAATCACAAATTTACAAAATTGACAGCATGGTAAATTTGACACGAAAAAGCATCAAAATATGATAAAACTTTCTTATATTAACACCTACCTATAGTTTTTATACGACCGCAAAAATTGAAAATTTTTTGGTCGTATATTGGTATGACGTTGGCGTCGTCGTCGTCGTCGTCGTCGTCTGGCGTCGTCCGGCGTCGTCCGAAGACACATTGGTTTTCGCACTCTAACTTTAGTTTAAGTGAATGGATCTCCATGAAATTTTACCATAAGGTTCAATACCACGAAAGGAAGGTTGGGATTGATTTTGGGGGTTATGGTACCAACAGTTAAGGAATTAGGGGCCAAAAAGGGGCCAAAAATAAGCATTTTTGTAACTTCCAGACAATAACTTGTGTGTAAGTGTATGGATCTCTCTGACATTGTACCACAAGGTTCCATATCCCAAAGGGAAGGCTGTAATTGATTTTGGGGGTAATTGCCTCAAAATTTTAGGAATTAGGGGCCAAAAAAGGGGCAAAAAACAAGCATTTTTCTAGTTTCATGACATTAACTTGTGTGTAAGTGTTTGGATATTTCTGAAATTGTACTACAAGGTTCCATATCACAAAGGGAAAGCTGGAATTGAGTTTGTGGGTAATTGCCCGAAACGTTTAGGAAAAGGGGGCCAAAAAGGGGCCAAAAATAAGCATTTTTCTAGTTTCCAGACAATAACTTGTGTTCAAGTGTATGGATCTCTCTGAAATTGTACTGCAAGGTACCATACCACAAAGGGAAGGCTGGGATTGAGTTTGGGGGTGATGAATCATAAGGGGGTTCAAAAAATTTGGGGGGGGGGATTTTTTTTTTTTCTTTTTTTTTCTTCTTTTCCTTTTTTTTTTCTTTTAAAATTTTCCATTTTAAGTTGGTTATTTCTGATTAATATTTAAAAGCAAATAATAATGATATGGTAGGAGATACACACCAAACAGGATGTGTAAATTATTATATAATAAGTATTGTGCAATAGCAAGAAATTTTCAATTGCACAGTATTGCACAATTGCAAGAAATCTTCAATTGCACAGTATTGCGCAATAGCAAGAAATCTTCAATTGCACAGTATTGCACAATAGCAAGAAATATCCAATAGCACAATATTGCGCAATAGCAAGAAATTGTCAATTGTACAGTATTGCACAATAGCAAGAAATATTCAATTGCACAGTATAAATTGCTTATTTCTTGATCAATTTCAATGGGGTTTTATTCTTGAATTCTTGGGGTTCTTTAATATGCTGAATCTAACCAAGTATTAAGTTTTTGGATTTTGGGCCCCGTTTTTAAATTGGTCCACATTGAGGTCCAAAGGGTCCAAAATTTAACTTTGTTTGATTTCATCAAAAATTGAATAATTGGGGTTCTTTGATATGCCGAATCTAACCGTGTATTTAGATTCTTAATTTTTGGTTCCGTTTTCAAATTGGTCTACATTAGGGTCAAAAGGGTCCAAAATTAAACTTTGTTTGATTTTAACAAAAATTGAATTCTGAGGGTTCTTTGATATGCTGAATCTAAACATGTATTTAGATTTTTGATTATGGGCCCAGTTTTCAAGTTGGTCCAAATCGGGGTCCAAAATTAAACTTTGTTTGATTTCAACAAAAATTGAATATATGGGGTTCTTTGATATGCTGAATCTAACCATGTATTTAGATTTTTGATTTTTGGGCCCCGTTATCAACTTTGTCCACATTGAGGTCAAAAGGGTCCAAAATTAAACTTTGTTTGATTTCATCAAAAATTGAATTCTTGGGGTTCTTTGATATGCTGAATCTAACCATGTATTTAGATTTTTTATTTGTGGACCCGCTATCAAATTGGTTCATATTGAGGTCAAAAGGGTCCAAAATTAAACTTTGTTTGATTTCATCAAAAATTGAATTATTGGGGTTCTTTGATATGCCAAATCTAACCGTGTATTTAGATTTTTAATTTTGGGTCCCGTTTTAAATTGGTCTACATTAAGGTCCATAGGGTCCAAAATTAAATTTAGTTTGATTTTAACAAAAAATGAATTCTTGGGGTTCTTTGATATGCTGAATCTAAACATGTGTTTAGATTTTTGATTATGGGCCCAGTTTTCAAGTTGGTCCAAGTTGGGGTCTAAAATTAAACTTTGTTTGATTTCAACAAAAATTGAATATATGGGGTTCTTTGATATGCTGAATCTAAACATGTATTTAGATTTTAGATTTTTGGCCCAGTTTTCAAGTTGGTCCAAATTGGGGTCCAAAATTAAACTTTGTTTGATTTCAACAAAAATTGAATATATGGGGTTCTTTGATATGCTGAATCTTACCATGTATTTAGATTTTTTATTTGTGGGCCCGCTATCAAATTGGTTCATATTGAGGTCAAAAGGGTCCAAAATTAAACTTTGTTTGATTTCATCAAAAATTTAATTATTGGGGTTCTTTGATATGCCAAATCTAACCGTGTATTTAGATTTTTAATTTTGGGTCCCGTTTTTTAAATTGGTCTACATTAAGGTCCAAAGGGTCCAAAATTAAACTTAGTTTGATTTTAACAAAAATTGAATTTTTGGGGTTCTTTGATATGCTGAATCTAAACATGTGTTTAGATTTTTGATTATGGGACCAGTTTTCAAGTTGGTCCAAGTTGGGGTCCAAAATTAAACTTTGTTTGATTTCAACAAAAATTGAATATATGGGGTTCTTTGATATGCTGAATCTAAACATGTATTTAGATTTTAGATTTTTGGCCCAGTTTTCAAGTTGGTCCAAATTGGGGTCCAAAATTAAACTTTGTTTGATTTCAACAAAAATTGAATATATGGGGTTCTTTGATATGCTGAATCTTACCATGTATTTAGATTTTTTATTTTGTGGGCCCGCTATCAAATTGGTTCATATTGAGGTCAAAAGGGTCCAAAATTAAACTTTGTTTGATTTCATCAAAAATTGAATTATTGGGGTTCTTTGATATGCCAAATCTAACCGTGTTTTTAGATTTTTAATTTTGGGTCCCGTTTTTTAAATTGGTCTACATTAAGGTCCAAAGGGTCCAAAATTAAACTTAGTTTGATTTTAACAAAAATTGAATTCTTGGGGTACTTTGATATGCTGAATCTAAACATGTGTTTAGATTTTTGATTATGGGCCCAGTTTTCAAGTTTGTCCAAGTTGGGGTCCAAAATTAAACTTTGTTTGATTTCAACAAAAATTGAATATATGGGGTTCTTTGATATGCTGAATCTAACCATGTATCTTGATTTTGGACATTGGACCATAATAGGTAAATTAGAAAAATTGAAGTTCTTAGACCACATTCTTTCTGTGTCAGAAACCTATGCTGTGTCAAATATTTAATCACAATCCAAATTCAGAGCTGTATCAAGCTTGAATGTTGTGTCCATACTTGCCCCAACTGTTCAGGGTTCGACCTCTGCGGTCGTATCAAGCTGCGCCCAGCGAAGCATTTTATTTTAAGTTAAATTTATTCAGATTGGTCCACATCATCTATATTGAAAGTATGAACAAAAGTTTAATTGTGGAACTGTGATTTTTTTTTCACGATAATAGCCTAAAAATGGGTAAAAATTGATGAAAAATGGGAAAATCATCAAAATTTGGTACTTTCAAAGGGCCGTTGCAAAAAAAAGAAGTACACCACCATATGATTTTTTTTCACGAATTATTTTTTTACAGTCATATAAACCCAAAAATCAGGTTAAGAAAAAAAGTTTAATTCTAGAAATTTTTGGCTCCTCGGAGGTGTACATCCTTAACGTTTATAGAGACAACAAATAATATTTACAACTGTTGTAAATCAAAGATCTTTGGGTCTTGTACGAATATACAATTCACATAAAAATAGAATTGTTTGTTATTTGGAGAGACCTGCTAAATTTCACTATATTCATTGAAAAAATAAGAACGAATTGCCCAAATTCAACAGCAAGAGGGATTTTAAAATCTGAATAATATTTTGTTTGGGAAATAAAAAAATAGAGCCATTTGCGTTTTTAATGTTATATCATGTGACCCGCTTTGGTTTAAAACCAAATATTTGGACAATTGGCGTATGCTGCTTCCGTATGCTATTTGCACGTGGCATCTATGAGTGAGAGCAAAGGCTCTGAGTAGGAAAATGTGTTGTTTAGGGTGACATGTCTTCATGCGGACTTACACTGTGAACTAGCACAATCCGACACGGCGTGTAGGTCTAGAGCAAAGCAGGATCCATTTGCACATACCAATTACATTTTCTCATGCTGATATGCATGTTATATTTTCCCCTGGACGTTAAAAAAAATCCATTTTTATGTATGTATTTATATATATCAGAAACAGGTCATTTAAAAGACCTCATTTAACTGTTCAGTGCACAATGTAGAAATGCAATATCTGCAACAACAAAAATGGTCCCGTTGTCAAAATATATTTAACTTTATATTAAAGACGCTTGGAACCAGAAAGCCGAAGAAGATAATAACAATTTAATACTGAAAAATCATCAAAATTTACGATACTTGAAATCCTTGGCCAAAAACATATATACCTGTTCAAAATCTACGGACAAACTACGCCACCTTTTCAAAGATTTTAGTATCTTTTATACCAGCAGTACCTGTCGCTCTACGCTGGTTTCGATGATATCAGCAAAAAAAACATAACATACTACCAATTTATAAGCAGCTGAGACTACGTTATAGTAGTCTCAGTAAGCAGCAATATCGGCTCTAAATACTTTTCAGAGATAACTATAACACACCGTGTGTATAGGTCAAATCAAAACGCCTGAAAACGAGCGGTCAAACGCTTATTCAATGTTGATATATATATATATATATATATATATATATATAAACAAGTCTAAATTGAAAACAACGTTCAAACCTATGATTGCGCTGGATAAAAACCGCAATTTTTATACGTGTGCATGCAAAAACAAATTTCTTGTTAGAGGGGTCTAAATACAGCACAAACAACATTTTCCAAAAGACCAACAAAGTGAAAAAAGTATATTTTAACAAAACGCATTTGACTAACAGGTCGAACAACAAATGTTCTTAAACCCTGCTGACTGCCATTGGCGATTGCCAAATAAACGGATCACAAGGTGTAATAAATGGATCTTAATTAAAAATTTAATACCAAACAGAAAACAATATACTTGCGGCAAAGATGGTATACCGCAAACAAAGGTGCAAAGATTTTTGTACACCATATCCGGATTTCGACAATTAATGTCTCTTCAGTGATGTTAGGAATCGAAACAGTATATAGGATTACTATTTATATCATATTGTATTTAAACCGAGAGAGAATAAAAACGAGAATTGAATACATGTGGATTGTCTTCATACACAATTAACTAAAAGGCCATAGAAATAGTCCTAAATTGAAATTCCTCTCATTAATCTTGAGAAGCATTGTGCTGTGCAATAGTCTTCATACAAAATTAACTAAAAGGCCATAGAAATAGTCCTAAATTGAAATTCCTCTCATTAATCTTGAGAAGCATTGTGCTGTGCAATAGTACATAAATAAACTATTACTGTGTCTATAAAAACGAACAGAGAAAAGACGCGTGTTCTATTCTAGTTAAAGGAAAATAACCTTAACGTTTAAGCAGCTGTTCCCTTACTAAAGCACTTAGTCTTTATCCTACAGCTACTCTAACTTTAGATAGCAGGGTTAATAGTATACGGAGTTTTTACCTCACAGATGTAGTTTTCGTTTCCAACTGTTTGTTCACATCGCGTAGAGTTTTCTCTGAAAGGTGCAGATACACATCCAGTTTCCGTTGTTTCCCCCGCAGCCCATTCACATGATATGCATTCTAGGCCTGATGACTCTCCTAAAAGATGTATTGCATATTAGATGGTCATGGGAGTAAAATGTGTTTCATCTGATTTTTGTGTCCTTTTAATGGTTTTTACATTGATGAATGCTACACTCGTGTATATTGTCGTTGTCGCAGAAATAAATTGATTGATTGATTGATGTTTTCTTTATGTCGCATCAGCACAAAAAGGCTATACCGCGGTGACGTAGAAATAACTACTGCATGGACCACTTTAAATATTTAACTATATAAACTAAAGTTATGTTAAAGGATCGTGGAAAACTAAAAGTATAGTACAAAGGCTAATAATAAATTTTCAAATTGATGTGCATAGACATTATTATATATAATTAATACATTGTAATATATGTCTCTGGTGTGCAGAATGTTAAATTTGAGCGGAGTTTATGATTTGGTTACAGGAAGACAACTAACGTGGATTTCAATCTCTATTATTTAAAAAAAACCTGCATAGTTCCGTTTCAAGGCAAATGGAATTAACAGTATTTTATCGTTAGTGTGACATCCATTATTAATGAAAGCCTTATCGATTTTCTATCGCTCCTAGTTGACACCTAATACCGATACACGAGTATGCTTAGACAGATTCAGACTAACAAAGGAGTGATATAGGGGAAAATAAACGGGCACGTATTCATTAATTTTAATAAATATCTATATATTTTTTTTCGACAGAAATAAAATAGCACAGAGAACAAAATTACAGATTCCAAGCAAACAATCGTTATCATTGAAAAACCCCAAGTGATGAACTTAAGTTTTTTTTCCTGTAATAAATATATATACGTATATAAATATATGTATTACATATGTATATAAATATATATATTTTTTTTCTTTTCAGTTTGTTTATACAAACTACATATGTAGTGGTTTTTCTTGCAGAAGTGACCCAGATGCCAATGGCTTTGAAAAATCTGTATTCTTTCCGCCATTAGATAAAGGAATATTTTTTTCTGAAGGATCGATAACGCACTAATGACCATGCAGAGAAGATAAATCACAAGAAAAATATCCTTACCGAATAAAAATGTGACTATTGATAAAACTGTCCCTGAGTATAACAATGATAATTCCATTTTAGATTTCTACATATCAAAGGTCATATTGCATTTTAAAGCTCTGCTATGTTGCCGTTTTCAGTAAACTGTTTGCAACTGTTAAGGGAATACATCGATTACGAAAAAAGAAGCGTTCCGAAGCATTTTGCGGGAAAGGGAGAGGTAATTATGCCTACAAAATCAACTTCTGTACTTCAGCTCACATTCGTTGTGGTCTTTTTCATATTAAATTTAGTTTGTAACGGTCGTGGTCTTTTACATTTTTATTATAAACAGTCTTTGAAAATTTCACAAAAATGTATAGATCTGTATTTACAGAATAAAGAACAACAGACAAATACAAAAAAAGAAAGAAAAAAAGAAAGAAAAAAAGAAATATGGGCAAAAAATAAAAAAGACCCCGACAAATGTAAAACAATTCAAAGGAGAAAACTAACGACCTAATTTATGTACAAAATAATCAACGAACATATGATGTACAGCAACAAACGACAACCAATGAATTACTGGCTCCCGACTTGGGACATGCACTTACAGAATGTGGCGGGGTTAAACATATTAGCGGGCGTCCAACATTCCCCCTAAATTTGGGACAGTGTACAAAACAAAAGACGAAAACCAAATTTGATGAACAGAAACAAATAACCACTCATTTACAGGCTCCTGACTTGGGGTAGGCATATATATATATATATAGAATGTGGCGGGGTTAATATAAAGATAAGGAGATGTGGTATGATTGCTAGTGAGACAAGTATCCATCAGAGTTCAAATGAGGTGGATATAAGCAAACATGTTTGCGGGCGCCCAACCCCCCCCCCCCTTCCCCCGCTAACCTGGCACAGTGGTGCGACAGCACAACATAAGAACAAACTATAAAAATCAGTTGAAAAGGGCTTAACCCGTCAGATCGATACAAAGCAAAAACAACTTATAAAAGCACAAAAGACACAAATAATATTGAGAATGGAAACGGGGAATGTGTCAAAGCGACAACAACCCGACCAAAGAGCAGAAAATAGCCCAAAGGCCACCAATGGGTCTTCAACACAGCGAGAGGAGGCGGGCTTCAGCTGGCCCCTAAACAATGAAGTGTAGATCTGAGAGTTCTCGCAGTTACTGGAAGCTAGTTCAAGGCCAATAACAACTAATAGAGAAATAATGTATCTAAGACTAAAATATCAATCAGCAAAACACCATCTTGTCAAAATGCCAGAAATTAATTCAACTGGTATCTGTAATAGAGAGGGATACACCCAACATCCAATTGATTTAGTGTAAAGACGTCATTAACAGTCAGAAAAAAAAACACGACAGTGTACAAGTCAAAATACAGGTATCGACAGATTGTAGAGCCATGAATGTGCATATGTATATAACAATAATATTTAAGTTTGATTTTAATTTATTGATAACAAAATCAGTATTAATATCAATAAAAACAATATTCAAAGATCTGATAAAAGTGTTGAATTGGTAACCTTTTAGAATAAATTTATTTAAAGGATCGATAAGTTTACCTGGATCGTATCTAAATTTACAAGCTCGGTAAACAACATCACTGTAAAAATTTTAAGCAGATGTGCTATCCCGTTTGTGATAAGTTTTGTGGTAACGAAAACCTTGAACAGTTTCTATAAATCTGTATTTAATTTTTCGGACCGTGCGAAAAATTTGCACAACTTTGTGAAATAATTTTGATGTAACCATTGGAAAGTAAACACTGACACATACAGTAATACATTAACTGGTGGCAAAGATGGATAGAAAATGTTTGATAAGAGCATCCCTGAAATTGAAAAAAAAATATGTTAAATGCATCGATCCTTTAAATTATTTAATAACATTTTGTTAATTTCAGCTATCTTGCCATATTTAAAAGAAAATATACTAGCAAACTGCAATCTAATTAAAATATAGACCTCTGTCCTTATGCTGGTCAACCAACAATTTTGTTATAAATGTATTCTATAATGCGTTGGCGATTTTTTCTATTTAAATAACATAATTTCGTAATGAAAAATACTTAATGTATCGTCATGCATTTGATTGAGATTCGAATCAGTTGATATCCGTGTACTTTAATTTACTTTTACAAACAAGATTTATGTCAATAATGATGTAATAAAATTTGATTTGATAACATATAACGACTTCATTTTAAAGAAATATAAAAAATGTTCATCGTTTATAAATGGTTTGTCGTGATTTAGAATTGGGCAAACTGAAGGCATCCGTGTACTTTAAAAGATTCCCTGTCAGGGTGCTTAAAGATATACAAACAAAACAGGTTTGGTCTATATTTTGAAAGAAACAAATTAAATAAACAAAAGCATTTCAAATGTAATAAATATATGATGCAACTTCGGTTACTTATATCAAATGAGGGAGACGATACCAAGGGGCTATGAAAAAACCACAAGTCGAAGAAAAAAGACAATGGCACCTGGCCATATGAAAAACGACGAAAAAAAAAACCAAACAAGCAGTCTACAAAACACCACATTAGAAAGTAAAGATATAGCAGCACGAACCCCGTCAAAAAGCTGGTACCTGAGAGTATACTAGATCCCCGGCAGAGGAAACTAACGCGCTGCGTTCTTGCTCCACTAGAATAGCAACTGTCGAGTTGCTGAGTATAATTGAAATTGCCTATACGTATACATGTATGGATACAAAAAATTCTGTGTTCAACTCGTATAGTATCTTGACGTCGCTTCCTACATAAGTAACAAATCTTTACGGATATGTCATTTTCTTCTATTCTACATGTTCTGCGCACGTTCACGTTCACGCACATTTTCTTAACCTCTCTTTTATAATTGTGCTACGTTAAAAACGTTGATAGACATTGGGTGTATTTTTAAAGATATTAGTACGGACTTGAAACTGATCAAACATGGGTTTCATTTCTTCCAGACGATAAAAACCTACTGATTTTGACGAATCATGATACAGTTTTTAAAAACAATAACGCCTGCTGTTCATGGTAACGTTTAACTGAATAGTTTAGACGTAACGAATCCCAATTTGGAAAATTTGACAAGTCACGATAAAACGGCAGCCGAGAGTCACCATTTGTCGCCTGATGGTATTTAAAGAGCATTTCTACCCTCCAATCTAAATGGCTTTGGAAAGTGTCTGCAAATAAAGTTTTTAAAAAGGGGAATCATCCCCGTATGCGGCCAGTGCGCTTTGGCTGCTATAATGTGTTTGTTTAAACTGTGCTGTAATCCGCTTTCTTAACAGTACAGGAAAACCCCTGATTGATTAAATCAGAGACATACACATTGGTGTATATATGTCTCTGATTAAGAGCAATTCTCTGTAACCATCAACCATTTCATATAGGGGGGTCGGCACGCATAGTCACCGATTTTCCTGAAACTAAGTCTGACTATATAGTCTAATTAGGTGAAAAAGTAAGAAAAAAGCCTCGTAAAGTGTTGCTAGGCCACGGTTGCCACGGCAACCAAGTCAATGAGTTTTCCGGTACATTTTGGGGATTTTAGCATTGAAACAACACCTACTATGCAGGCATTCTGAAACAAAACCAGATTTTATTTAAGATATTTGTTAATATTTTTCAGAAACATGATACTTAACAATCATAACAGCAATGTCATATATAAATAATATTTTGTCTAAATATTGTCACAACCACAGGAGCAGAGGTCATTTTTCATTTTTTGCATTTGTGAAGGCAAATTATACACATTTAGCATGAACAAAAAATACAGTTTTGCATCCACCTCCATTCAAGTTGAGGTAATAAATACAAAGTATCAATGTTTCTAGTCAATAATTTACAACAAAATATTTGGGATTCAGGGTGCTAGGATGGTTGCTCTGAAAACCAAAATGTGTCATTTTTATTTTTTCTTCAGAAATTCAACCATGTTATTAAGATTACCCGGAAACAGTTATTACAATGGAATGACTATAATGTGAAAACTATTGAGCATTAAATGACATTCAATTAAACCCAAGGTCAAAGATCATAGATGACCTTGACCTTTGACTTTGCGTATATTAATTGAATTTTGTAAGAAAATATAATAGAAAGAAGCAAACAATACGTGAGGAAAATGTTCAGGATGATTAAAGCCACTATTTTGTTTACAGGTCAACCGTAAGAAGTCAAGGTCTTGTCAAAAGTGCGTATCAACCACTAATCCCATTGAAAAACACACATTGTATGTACCGAATTGTTGAATTACACTGACTCGATTGTACATATGGATGGGTTTTACTCATTGTTGAAGGCCGTACGCTGACCTATAGTTGTTAATGTCTGTGTCATTTGGTCTCTTGTGGAGAGTTGTCTAATTGGCAATCATACCACATCTTCTTATTTTTATAACCCAGAATAGTTAATCATATGGAATTTCAATTTCAAGCAAGAGATTTTATGTGGACAGAATGATAATTTTCACCCGTTATAAGGCTGAACTGCTTATTTAATTTTTTCGACGAAAACAAATATTTTTCGTTGTGTACACACCTATTTCATTTTTCAAATCGTATGTGCACCTCAATCTACAGAAAATTCATTTTCAGCATGTCTTGGGCAATGATATTCAGTTCAAGACACCATGTCACATTCATTTCATTCAACATCCCCATCACAAAATATAGAATGGTCCTTCCCTAGCTAATAGAACTTCTCTGAATCCGCTCAACTGTTACTTTTGTTTTCTGTTGAAGAAAAACTCCTTCTTAAAACCAAATACATTGTGTGTTCTGCTAAAATTACTTTTTTTCTGGTATATTTTACCTTGGTGTTCACATTTTCTCCGTATCTATTATAGTTTTTAAGCAAATTGTAAATCTCAAAATTTAGCTAAAATAATTCTTTTCGGGCAATAACTGATAAAGAAAGTTGATTCACAATTTCAGCAATATTAATCCATTGGTAAATCTTATCTTTAAGCTCATTTATGCTGTTTATTGCTTCTCTTTACCTATTAAAATTTTCAAGAACGGCAAAAACAATTATTGACAATTTCAGTAATGTCAACGTATTTTAATTCTTTTCTTGTTGATCTGTTTTTCTGAAAGTATATCTCTATCTATTATAGTTCTTAAAATAAAACCCAAAAC